TGGTTGGAAATCCGAGTGCTATCCCTCTGCTCCCAGGCAGGCTGGGGAGCAGCATTTTTGTCCTTCTGCTGCTTGAAAACTGCTGCACCCTTTGGCCTCATTCTTCAACACCCCCTCCTCCCTATCTTAATCCTTCAGGAATTTGGTAGACCTTCGACTTCTGTGGTGCGGGGGACYTGGCACGGGTCAGAAGCCAGGGAGAACTATGCAGCTCTTACTTGCAAATCCGAGTAGGGATTTCCATAGGTGGTCCGTGTGCTGTTCTGAACAAAGCGAGGGATCGCCTGGTGGTCGGGGGGATAATGCCTAAAACATGTCGTGTGTCTGTCTGGCTTCTCCAGGAACTACTGCTGGAATGCCATGAAGGGCTGGAAGTGGAGGTGATGTATTATGTATTAAGGTGCCTCACTGGGACTGGTGGGATGCTGGCCTTACAGAATGTTAATATCTCATTTGTTTGCTTGTAAGGATCCATCCTCAAGGGTAGGGGAGGATGTGCCCCTGTGATGTGTGTGCTTGTCTCGACATAATTTTTCTCACCTGACTTTGTGTCGGTGGCTGGCGTGGAGTCGTGTCRCTGCTGGGATTTCGCTGAGCTCTTTTGAAGAGGTCGAAATGGTTGAGATGTGTTAAAGTGTGTGCTGTAAGAGCATCAGCTCTCCAGTTCACCCGGCTGAACTGGGCAAGGACACAAAGCGGGATGAAACGAAGGCATTTTTCTCGGTTTGTGCGCAAAAGTACGAGTTGGAGCTCTGCAGCGTTATTATTTGCTGCCTTTTGTATTCAGCACAAGTAATGAGGCTTGGATGGCATACATTAGCACCCTGTAATAGAGCACTTGATGGCTGGCAGTTGTTTGATTTGTATGTTTTGGCTAAATCGTTCACATTAAAAGATTTGCAGCATTTTTTTTTTCCGGTTCCCTTTATCGATTGTCAGGTGAATTGCGGAGCTGAGCACAGCCGGGACTGTTCAGCCAGCCCGAGCTGACACCAGGCTTGTGTTTAGAGGTGTGAGAAGCTCTGTTCAAAGAGATTTAACAGAGATTTGTGTAGGGCTGACCTGTTCATCTCCTGTGCTCTYTGCTTTATGATGCACGCAGCCACTTCAGCTTCCAAGTGTGTGTGTYCTCCCTGTGTCGATTGTTAGAGCAGAGTTATTAATTCAAGTGAGCTAAAAATTTGATACTTTTTTTTTTTTCTCGCTGTTTCAACAATTCGGGTAAAACCACAGCCGTAACTTGCCAAAGACAGACAATAACAGCTAATATTTTTTTAGGGGGAAAGTGTTTTCTCTAAGTAAACTGTCTGGGTGAAACTCATAAAAAGCTCTTTGAGGGAGTAGCTGCACACAGCTGGGACAGAGTGGGAGTTTAATCCTTTGCAGCATGCATCCACAAACCACTGGTCCATGCAAGGAGCAGCTGTTGAAGGGAAAGCATCTGTTCTGGTCCCCTGCAAGACTGCCCTGTTGGACTGACCATAACAGGCTGGGGCTCCCTCTGAGCTGGCTTTTGTTGGTCTCAAACAGGTCTCCAGAATTCAGGGGGGTTAATGGTTTAATAACTACTGCAAGTGCTAATTGTGTGGAGCAGGGAAGCAGYCTGGCTCAAAAAGATCCAACTGAGTGTGAGACTGCTTCAGCTGGTGACCAATTTATRTTTATTGTCCCTCAGCTTCCCGACTTCCCTGCTGTGGTAGATGTTCTTATTCTTGCRGGTAGCTCCTGGAGCTGCCCAGTTTTAGCCCCTGTTTTCAGCCCAGCAGTCCTTTGTGTTATTTTCCAGCCTRCCAGGTGTTAAAAGAAAAGTTATTATTTTCCATGCTAAAGATAAAGCTCCCTGGCTGCCTGCAGTTGCGCTGCCTTTGCGGCTGGAGGAACTGCACCTCCTGGGATTTGTTGTTATTAAGTGCAGGGGATGTAGCTGGCACTGTCTCTTGTCCTCAGTGTGTGCTTCCTATTGGAAGCAAGGATTAGTTTTCCACGGAGAGCCTGGCCAGTGCTTGGCAGCTGCCTCCAGGGCTTGGGCTCTGAGGATGCCAGGTRAAATCTGGGGACAGGGAGTTCCTGCGGCATGAAATATTGAGTTACTACCTTTGAGCTGGGAAGGGGAAAGCTCAGGCTCACTACAGAGGAGCTGCTCGGTCAGGGCAGTGTGCTCCAGCCTGCTTTTACAGCCTGGCTGAGGCTGGATATAAAAATAGCCAGATGGGAGGATGAACGTGTAAGTCAGTGCGGCTTGAGGAGCAAACTGCTCTGCAGCCAGGTACCTGCAGCTTCTGCATTCAGTGGCAGYGCTACAGCAAGGTGTCAAACTCTGCTTAAGCAGATAGCCAGGTCACTGCTGTTCATACACTCTCTAATCCAGCCTCTTCCTAAAGCTAAGYGCATCTTAAGCCCTGGCTAATCTTCTTTGAAGTGTGAACCTGTGCCATTATCCTGCAGCAAGCTCCCGTGCCTCTGTCTCCTGCTTTYACTGAGTGTGAAGGTCCAGGTTAGCTTACATCTGGCTGTTGTGGATTTCCTGAGCAAATAACTCTCCCAGAATGGTTTTTGCCCTAWAGAAATGTAGGATTGTGGCCAGCAGTGCTCTTCAGACTGGGAGGAACAATATGAGGCTCTTTTATCAGGATGGTACTGAGTGCTTGCYTTATGTACCAGCCAGAAGGAGGAAAGGTTCTAGTAAAGATGGAGTAAACTTGCTGGGAGCAGATTAACATTTTAGTTTTATTAACCACGTCCTGAATGTCTTGGGCTGTTTGAGGGCCTAGAGCTAGAAACCTACRAATTATCTATACAGATGTGTATATCCATATGTATGATGTATATGACTGCAAGAGAAATGCTTTTTGAGTGTGGCTGGAGTTCTGTTTAGGTTTAAGCACTGCTGAAAACATTTGTGCCACCTAAAGGCTCCTGACTTCTTGAGAAGCTGGATTTAGAGCCAAAGTATTTTTTAAATAGAAAAAACCCCAACTTCTTGTTATTTCAATATGTCTGATCTTAACAGGCACTTGCTGAAGGGGTGTGAGGTGAACATGATTTATATTCAGCTGCATGGTAAAGCAGATGCATGCAGTTAGGCACTAATTTAAGTTGTATAATATATTCTTAGTGCTTTTTAATTACAAAAGTGCGTAAAGAATTAGCCTGGGAGAAGAGCTAAATATTGTCAGTTTTCAGCAATTTTTTGATGGGTGAGAGAGAGAAAATAGCTGGGTGCTTACCCATCCTTTAGAAAAGATGCTAAAAATGAAGTGGAAGGTATCTAGGCTGGTGAGCAGCTTTTTGGTGGCTTGTCCCTGAGCACCTGTGCATGTGTGTGGCCTGTGATGGGGARTTATTCCAGCGGCTCAAAGTGCTGGGACGAGGCTTCAGGGARAATGGAAAAAGTGACTCAGTGTGCCCTGAAGGCTCAGCCAGATGCTGGAGCCTGCACTGGTTGATTCTGTGCTCTGTGAGCACAAATGCAAGTAATGCTCCTGTGTGTGCTGTTTGGGGGGGAAATGAGGGATGTGGCGAGTTTAGGGGTTTATCCTGGTGCCCATGAGTTGCAAGGTGGTAGAGTGACCACTGCTCTCTTTTGGGAGACTCAGGGGTCTGACAACCCCAGCTTCTTTCCTTACTCATATTTGTTAGTCCTGCACCCAAAAGTAAGAACAGTTTATGGTGAATAATAAAATCTCATCGAGTTCCACCCCCTGCCATGGGCAGGGACACCTTCCACTATTCCAGATTGCTCCAAGCCCTGTCCAACCTGGCCTTGGGCACTTCCACGGATGGTGCAGCCACCAGGACTTCCCCACCCTCTCAGGGAAGATTTTCACCCTAATAGCTAATCTAAACCTTCTCTTTGTCAGCTGAAAGCCATCCCTCCTTGCTCTGTCACTCCAGGCCCTGGTCCAAAATCTCTCTCCAGCTCTCTTCAGTTACTTTAGGCAGTGAAAGGTGCTCCAGTGTCTCCCTGGCACCTTCTCTTCTCCAGGTTCTCTGTATCAGAGCTGCTCCAGCCCTGTGAACAGCTTGGTGTCTCTTCTCTGGACTCATTCTAACAGGTCAATGCCTTCCTCATGCTTGGGGCCCCAGAGCTGGATCCAAAACTGGAGGAATATAAAAGAAAGCAGGAGAAGCTGCTGATGGCTGTGCCCTGAGCAGCTGCCTCCAGGAGCTAGGAGGAGGATGATGATGATCAGAGCAGAGCTGCTGTGTGACAGAGGGATGTTTGCTGTGTGCAAGGGACTGGTGTGAGCTGCTGTCTCACATGGAATGAGCAGAGCCTTGGAGCAGTAAGTCAGAGAGGCACTGGCYCCAGGGAGGTGTCTGGGAGCTGGAGGCAGCAGAGCTTGCCAAGGGCAGGCTGTCAGCTGGCTGCATCCCTGCTGGGCTACAGGTTCAGGCTCTCCTGGAAACCCTTGACTTACTCCGTGGTTCTGGGCGTGAAGCTCCCTGGAAGTGCCTCCATGGTGCAGTGCAGCACGGGCACTGTGCTAATGCAGCACTGCAGCTCCTCTGTGGGGCTGGGGACCTTGGCCAGGACATGGCAGCCCTAAAGCTGGTCCTAAAGTGGTGTGGCTCTGGTCCTGTGCTGTCCCCCACAGACCCATCTTGTTCTCGGTGCAGGTTCCTTGGTTTCACGCACAGAACAGGGCTGGGGTTTCATGGCCCTGACAAGTGTCATTTTTGGGCTTGCTACAGCACTAACAGGCTGATCCACAGCATTGCTTGCAGGTCTGGTGCCTGCTGGGTGCACTCTGCTGCTGGGGTGGGAGCTGGGCAAGGTCTGTCCAGGGCTTTAGATCAATATCTGGCATCTTTAGGGTAGGCTAAGAGCAGTAAAACAGAGGAATTCATTGCTTGGGTTTTGTAGGAGGGAGCTGCTCACAGCTGGCCATAGACTCAGTCACCCAGTTATTTAGGTGATTATGGGAATGTGTAATCCTGTTTCCTTTTTCCCCTCTCCAGGTCTTGTACTCTGGATTTGTCAGCCTTGCAGGCTTCTGGACACATCTCCTCTCAACCATGAGGAGATCAATAGGATTTAACATCTGTGTGGTCACCTGCAGCATCCTGCTCTTGTCCCCCAGCCTGCCCTGCCTTGCAGCTCAGCCCCTGGAGGAGGAGGATGTGACAAAGGTCCAGCTCAGCYCCTGGGCAGGGAACGGGCTGGAAGATGAAAGGACAGGCACGCTGGACTTGAAAAACACTGTGGGCCCTTCAGAGCAGGCAGTGTCTGAAGAGCCATGTGGAGTGTCAGCAGAGCCATCTGGGACCCCCTTAGATGGAGCTTTCACAGCAGGAGGAGCAGCACTCGCTGTCACCCCGAGCMGTGTCACCCCCAGCAGCCACAGCCTGAGGGATCTCCCCTCTGCTGGGCACCAGAAGGAGCTGGCTCCCACAAAGCCAGAGCTGGATGAGGATGAAGCACTCAAGGCCATGCTGACCACWGCTGTGACCACTCTGAGCCCTCCAGGCCAGGAGGAGTCTGGTGGCCCTGTTGGTGAGGCCACCACGGAGGGTGATGTGACAATAGAGCCCAGCTTTGCCGGCCCCTCAGCAAAACCCCTTTCTGGGACCCCTGAGGAGGGGGCAGAGAGCAGCTCCCACCCCTCAGCCACCTCCCAGCCCACCCTGAACCCCAGTTCTCCTGGCTGGGAAGCAGCGAGTGACCTCCCTGTCATCCCAACTCCCCGGGCTCCGGGTGCGACATCTGAGCTGGGAATGCTGAGAGCCCGCACAGGGAGCCCTCTGAAATCCCTGGCTCCTCCAACTTCCATGGCTTCCAAACATCCCCCTGTGCTGACTGAGGCCTCTCTTCACCCCGAAACAGGGACAGGTGGCACACAAGAGCAGCTGCCCACGACGGCTGGCATTGTCACCATCCCCTCTGTGGACACCGTGCCACCTGACTGGGATGACACAAAGCTGGGGGATATCAGTCAAGGGGGAAGCACGTCTCGTGAGGARGTGACAGAGAACCTGGGGACAGCAGAGCCATCCCAGGCACCCCAGGAAGGTGTGGGGGAGGAAGAGGATGCCACAAGAGCGGTGCCATCCCCAGTGTCCCCTCCATCAGCACCTGAGCTCGCCGAGGAGACCAACTGCACTGTGCCAGTGCCAGGGGAGGAGCTGAACCCAACTTCCACAGGCAGCAGCGATGCTTTCCACCCTGGAAACCTGTCGGATGCAGACACAGCTGATCTCAGCTCCCTGGAAAACACAAGTGCAGTCCCAGCAGAGGAGGAGAAAAGCATCCCTTTGTCACAGTCGGAGGCTGCTGTGGTGACAGAGACCCAGCCTGAGCTGTCTCCTACTCTGGAGARTTCATGGAAAGGTAAAACTTGCCTGGTGCAGACCTTGCCTCTCAGTCAGGGTTTGGGAGGGATGCTTTTGGGGATCTGTGCTTCATTTCTGGCACACAAAGTGAGCTGTACCTGTGAGCCACTGGTGTTTTAAATGGCTTTACTGCAATGCTCAGGTCACCAGGTCTGTGCAGGGAGCTGCTGGCCCTGGGGACAGAACCTGTTGGTGTCTCCTCACCCCAGAGTGAAGCTGTGGCCATGCTCTGGCTGTCCAGTGCTGTCCCAGCTCCTACCTGCAGGCAGAACTGCTCCTCCTGGACAGCCTGACACAGGCTGGTGGTGTCACCTTGCCTGTCTGTACCTCCAGAGATGGCTCCTTCAGCCTCATGACAGCATTCCTACTTAAAATATAAAGAGAATAAAATAAAGGCTGGTCAGGTGTTGGGCAATGACATGTTTCTGGGTTGATGAGCACTTTTTAATTGCTGGGCATCCTTATTCTTCCCTCTTCTGCTGCAGATGCAAAAGGATGATTTCCCTTCACTGCCTCCAAAAGACCTAATTTTTGCTGTAAAAGAATGGAAGCTAATTGCAGGCTGGTGCTGAAACCTGACTGATTAATTTCTAGATTAATTTATAAGCACTTGACTTGTCAGCAGGTTCCCTCTCTGCTGTTCCCCAGATGTCGGGGGGAAACAATGCTGTCAATGAGAATAGTGCAACAAAAATAAACCTTTGTGCAAGGCTGGGGTTTCAGAGCAGTGGGAGCTGRTCACTGAAAGCTGCCCTGGTGATGCTTGGCTGGACCTGCTGCTGGCACTGTGGCTCTGGAATTGTTAAAGTATTGAGTTGTATTCTTTTGATATTCCTTTTATATTCCTTCAGATGTGGGCTCTGTTGCTGCCAGAGTTGCTGCCTGTGTCCTGTGAGTTGGTGCTGACCCGTGTTCTTGTCCTAGGTGCCACTCAGGAGGTGACAACAGCCACCCAGGAGGATGATACTGCTCTGTCAGTGGTGACAGAGGTGCCTGGTGCCACCCAGGGAACAGGGAAAGAGGGATTTCCTCAGGAGAACAGCGGTGAGGACACCCAAATGCTGACGGCTCCGAGTGCCACCGAGGTGCTGGTGGCAGCTGCTGCCTCCTCCACKGTGACCCCTGTGGATGCAGAAGGTAAAATTCTGCTTCAGGGGCTCGTTCTCACACATGATGGGATGGGGCATCTGGAACTGGTGTCAGTGCTTGGGTACAAAATCCTTATTTTAAGTCACTTTTAATTTTTTGCTCACCTCCTTCATGCTGCCTGTGCTGTGAGATCCACCACTTTGAAATTTGCTAGTATGTGTATTTTTTACCCCAAATAATGGAGTAGGGATTAAAAAAATGCCCCAAACCAAACAATTCCCTATCAGTCCTTGCTAACAAGCTGCCTTTGGTTTTAGACACTTCAGCAATTTTTTATTTCTGGAGAGCTCTTACTTCTGGAGCCCAAGGCAGTCACAGATTGCTGATGCTCAGTCCAGAGGATGGAAATGTCTCATCAGGGTTACATGGGAGCCTGTGGTGGGGGAAAGACCCCTCCTCCAAGAGCCTTGGGTGTGGAATCCTGCACTGATACTCACTTCCACTGAGGGATGGTGGATTATTTTCAGGCTGATGTAGCTCATGCAGAAATGCTTTAAGCAGTGCTGTTCATGTCTCTGCTGCCTGCTGGCTCGGTGTCACCTTGGCAGGTACAAGCAGGAGCCTGTCTGCCTGACAGGAGCATAGCAAGGGTTCCCTCAGCACAGGCTGACTTTGAGCTGGAGGGTATTTCTGAACCAGTGGGGACTGTTGTAATGAAAATGCTGCTGGACAGCTTTTCTTGTTCTTATATTGCAGGGCAGYGAAAGAAAAAAGCTGTTTGCACTGTATCTCTAAATTTCGGGTCCCTTTGTAAGGGGTAGAAGGTTCTTCTGGCAGTTTCCACTAATTAATTTGCTTCTGGGATTTAATTATAAATTCAACCAACTTTTATCTTGGCGATGAGCTATTAGATCTGTCACTTGGTTCATTTCTCATCTGGTATCTTGTGGCTGTGTTCTTGCAAGGGTGTGGTGATGAGGAGTCCTCAAAGCCATGGAGTTAAAACCTTCAAGGGTTCCCCCCTCRTTAAGGGAAACCTCATTTATTGCCTGCCCTTGAGGAGTTTCATTACAGCAGAGTCACATCATGAAGGAAGAAAAAAGTTTATTAACTTCCTTTCTGAGTTTAGTTTTCATTAAGAAGCTTGCTCTTAAATGGTGA